CCACGGAGCCGGTGTCAAGCCTTAAAACAAACTCCTCTTTCACGGCGCTTCCTGGGCAGATTCCCAGGCATGCCCTGGCCGGCGGCGCCTGAAGCCGAGCCAGCGGCTGGCGGAGTCACACAGCAGCCTTGTCCTTCTTAGCAGCTTATATAAAGCTGTTAAGCTCCAGTAGCTACCCCTATGTTTTCTAATTAAATTTTAACCCTTTTGCCATATGCCCTGACAACAACCCCATTTAGAGGCGAAGGAAACCGCTCGGCAGCGTTAATCGCCACCGCGCTCGGGTAAGCTGGGCAGGCGCTTCGCGCACAGCTCCCGCCTAACGCCCGGCGCTATCTGCCTCCGACACCTCATTATCTGCCATAGACGGAACAAAGCTGTCATCGTTTTCTCCCGGCTGATCCCGTGCTCAAGTTATTCACTAGAAATCCTAAAAAAGCACCTTCGGGAGCCAGCAAGTGGAGGAAAAGAAAGAAAAAATCAGAGTATTCCTGCAGAAGCAGATGCACTAACTTCTCTTCCAGCTCAGATCACAGCAGATGCTCACAGCATAGAGCCTTCTCTCTGCTCCACACCTCCCCGCTGGTTGTTGCGTTGTACCAGTTAAACGCTCAACACCTGCTAAAGAGATGATTTTGCTCTGCTCTTAAACTAATTCCATTAATGCAGCACTCGCTGCACGAGAAAAAACAAAGCTGCTCATGCTAGCTGAGCTCTTCACAAACAGCAAACAAACACTGAAATAATAGCCCACAAGAGACTCCAGCCTTGCCTCAAGAGTTGGTTTAAAATTAAGCAGCACCCTACTCTTCTGAGGCTTAAACTCTTAATGCCGCCAAGCCGCACCTTTCATTTGTGAGCTCTTTCCTATTAAAAGCTACGGGAGGGTGGAAGTCAAAGTGTAATTAATCTCTTAAAGACCCTCTCAGAGGATTTGACATTTCCTAAGCTTTTTGGGACATAAGCTGCAGCGAACCCCCACATGCCACCATCAGCACCTTGCTGAAGAAACTACTCAGAGCAGATTTTTTTGGCTAAAACCATCAGCAAGACCAACCTGTAAAAGTAATCTCTCATGCAATGAACTGAATGGAAAGGGGGCAGGAACAGCTTGCATAAAGGCTGCATGGAAAAGCTAAATCCCATGGCACTGCTGGTACTGCTGCCCCAAGGGCACCGCCTGCAAACAGCCTCTACACCAGAGTGGCAGCAGCCCTCTCCTAAACGCTCCTCACGGGGCGGAGGAGACACCCTGCCTGCTCGCAGCACAGCGCAAGTATCCACAAACCCATTTCTTTCCGTATTAATCAACCTCCTTGAGCCTACGCTCACGCACAGCGAGCTCCTGTGTCACAGCCGGGCTGAGGTAATTCTGCAGACAGACGACTGCCTGGTTTAGACAGCCTTTGGACCTGTGTCTCTCCAAACATCACAACTTTTTCCTTTTATGCACCACAAAGCAAAAGCAGCTCTGCTTCTCTTGGTGCTGGTATCTATTGGCTATGCTGCTGCCTGGGAGTTTAAATCTCTGAGCCTTGCTTTTACACGGGGAAAACAACTGTATTTCAAATGTTATTAAAGCTGTTACAAAGCGAGCCGGTGCAGAGAGAGATACGGCTTATTATTACAAGACGCAAGTACCGGCTCGGGCTCTACACTGAAATGCAGCATCCACATACCCACCCTACGAGGTTTATCGCCCCTTTGAATGCTGTTTTAGAGCCTGTGGCCACAAGGAAGTCTTCCTCCCCCTCCAATGTTGCCCATTGCCAGCGTTGTGTGTTCAGAGGACTTCGACATCAACATGAACGTGCAAAATGGAAAAAGTTTCTGTCTTCTGCTGGGAGAGAACGGTGACAAATATCTCCAGAGAGTTATTCCAATAACCTAAGCCAACACCAGCGCCAGGCTCGGCAGCATGTAATTCCCTCAGATAACACCGCTTTGGAGAGGAACCAGCCAGGAAAATCTCCAATGGCATCTGTGCATTATGGCCAAGTCATATCCAAATTTAAACACAGAGATTAAAAAAAGAAAGTCCAATTTTCAAGTTCCATTTCTAAAAGAAAAGGAGCTTTGTAGTCAAAGGAACAGCGCAGGGAACAGTTGCGTCCTGCGCCAGGAAAATCCAACCAACCTACTATGAAAAGTTTAAATACTTCTGCTCTGTGCCTGCTGTCCTCAGAGCCTTTTTGTTCTCCCTATCACTTAACTAGATTGAAAAAAGGACCATGAGGATTTTCTCCTTTAACACAGCACGAGAGATTTGGGTTTGGCTTTTTAAAACTGGTCTATGATCCATGGTATCTTTAAATTGAACTTCCACGTTTTGCACAGCTGCTCTTTATGCTTCCCAAGTTAGTGTGCCTGAGCCATGGCCTCAGACGGCTCCGTCTCAGAAAGCAGAGCCATACATACTCAGGCCTCCCCTCCTCAGTACTCCCAACCACTTTACCGTCAATATTTCCATTACCTTGTGCAGGCTTTCTGCTCTTATAGTAAAGTTCTAGCTCCACATGTAGGCTAGAGCAAGGCAAGAACCTTTTCCTCACCCTATACCCTTAGGGTATATGGACTTCCAAGTCCAGCCTCATGATTAAAAGCTTCACACACATCTTGTCATCCCTGGTGCAGATGAAGTAGGTGACAACAATCTGAATCAAGTGCTTTCACTTTCCCAGTTGACCCAAGAACATGAGGTAGTAATCACACCATGGTGTCTCTTGAACCTGGGGCACGGCGCTGAACACCCACAGAACAAAAAAGAGCGAAGAAGGTTTACGATGCAAAGAGCAGGTAAATGCAATTTGGAATAATTTTGCTGGTTTAATATGCAGATGATGAATTACCCATTCAAATCAATCTTAGTCTTTTATTGACTTCCACTTTCAGAACCTGATTGCAAGTGGGTTCATCTGAAATACCCAAATAATATCCAGGCTCCTTAGAGTCAGAACAGAGATCACAAAATTCAGCAAGGGAAAGCCAGTAGGACACCCAGGTGGTTTCTGAAGGCTGTAGTATACAGATCTGTCTTCTACAAG